ATGTTTTACTTGATTATTTTAATGTTTCTTCCTGTGTTCATATTCATTTTTAGATAAAACTCTGTGGCTGTTCGATTACGTTTTTTCTATACCACATTGGTTTTGTACTTTTCTAATATCTATATATTTCAATTCTAAGGCAAGAAACCTTCAAATGCAATGCCAAATTGGAAGCCAAAAGATTCAAGAATGTCAGCAAAAAATTGAGCATACTTGGTCTCTGGCCAAGGAAGAAGCTGAAAAATGTAAAGCGGCAAAGGACTTTATAAAAGTTTTGGCATTAAGGGTAATTTATCCAATTCTTCTTTTAAGGTTATTGTGAAAGGTTTTTGGAACTCATATCATGTTGAAATCCATCTAAAGGTTGTTCAAAACTCAGTTATACTTGCATATTACCGGGGGTAACTTATATAATTTTTCATTTAATTGTATTTGCTTTGATTGGGCACTGTTTGTATTGCTTGATAGGCAGATTGCCTCAAATTAACCGGTATGTTGGTGCAGAATGATCAGTTGAGGGAGGGAAATTATGTGGCTGATTATTCCAAAAATTTGAGCTAAGATTGTCAGAAACTCTTGACTACTTAGGAATTCGTTATTGACTCATTTTGATGGGCTTGTGGTGCGAGGGATTCAACAAGTTTTGTACAGCTGATATCCAGTTTAAGAGAAGGGAAAACATATTCGTCTGATTATGTCAAGGTTGAGAATAAGGATGTATAGTGGCTTTATATGGTATGGTCATTGTTGGAAGGTGCATGGGTTAAAGGATGCTTAGATGGAAAGAGTTAAAGGATGAAGAGAGCTTATGATAAGCCAAAATCATAGTGATTTAGTATTAGGAAAGGGATATTTGATTCTGAAGAAGCTATTTTCATTTTAAGATAAATTTGGACTATGCCAATTTGAGGAATTACTTTCATTTATCTTGTGTCAATCATTTTGGGATTGAAGTTTTAGTTTGGTTGGAAAATTGCAATTTGAAGCATCTTGTCTTTTTTCTCTTTCCTAATTATTTATATAAACAAAAGCTGTTGTGCTTTTATTTATATATATATATATATATATATGTTGATTTATTTTTTGTACCTAAATTCTCAATGGGAAACCTTGCAACTGCTTCATAAAGGTCCTAATGGAAAAACACATTTTCTTAAGTTTGATGGCTTTGGTATGAACATTTTTGTTGCAGCTTCATTCAATGTCAGAGAAATTTTCTGCTGCAAGAGAACAGAAATCTAAATTTGATGTTCATTTGCCTAGAATGGTGCCTCTAAGCACAGATAGCTCTAATCTTGAGGATGCGCATCCTATGTTGATTGCGGCACATTTACCCCAGGAAGTTAAATTACCAACAGACAGACAAGTTGACAGTCTCTGTGGAACTCCTATTGTTTTCTCTAATAAATTGAAATCCCTGCAAGCAAGATCAGACAGAATTGAAGACAAGGATAGAGCATTGCAGGACTCACATGTCACACAAATGGAATCGGAGCAAAGTCGAAGTACAGATTTGAAAGTTGAATGGGTCGAACAATATGAACCTGGGGTGTATGTTACCTTCACAATTTTGGCAAGCGGGCAGAAGGGGCTCAAGCGAGTGAGGTTTAGGTAATTTTCTAATATCTTATTTATATTTTAACTGTAGGTTAAGAGTCAAAGAAGAGTAAAGTTCTCAACTAAAAAAGATTAAATCATAATAAATTGAAGAATTAAAATCCATAAATTGATAGAGCTCATTGTATAGATCAATAGTATATAAAAATAATACTAATAACTATGAATGGACACAAAATTTATGTAATTTTTATTTGATACCAGCTGAATAAAGCACCACAGCTTACGAAAATTCTTTTGAGTTTTTGGATATATGTCTGTTCAGCAAATTTTTGATTTCATGAGGAACTCCACCTAGGTCTTGCCCTTTAAATATCATCTAATTGGAGATTAATCTATATGCGTACACATGGATACCGATACATTCATTTATAGACTGATGAATGAAATCCATGCATATAAAAAAGTCCGGATAATTTGGCATACATACATACATACATACATACATACATATGTATGTATGTATGTATCTTTATTTCCTGGTTTATTTCATTAGTTTCCATTGTCTTTAGATTTCCTTATGGTTGGCTGTGCTCTTTTAGTTTGTTGCATCTGAATGCATTTGATTTGTATCTCAATGCATTTCATTTGTATGTTGTGCTGCATAGTCGGAAGCGATTCACAGAGAAGGGAGCAGAGCAATGGTGGGAGGATAATCAGCTTTCGGTTTACCAAAAATATGGAATTGAAGGATACTTTAACTCAAACCAAAATCAGTGAAAGATCAGTGAACTAATTGTACCTAGCTAGCTAAGCATGTACAAATAGTAAAGAGTTGGTGCTTGTAAAAGCGCATGTTCACTACTTTGACAGAGGTTTCACCAGCTTGAACGACCATAAATAGGATGGACAGTCACTGTCAACCTACAAGTTTTGAGGAAGTAGCCACTGTAAATGAAATTTCCTTTGTATTTAATTAAGCAGCAAAAGGGTTCAGATAGGGGATGTTTCCCATGTACAGTTACCATGAGTTTGCTTGTTTTTGTTTTTGTTTTGTTTGTAAAATTAGGTTCATGTCATGTGGTACATGCATTTTTATTATATTGGCAATGGATTGGATGGTGGGGCAGCATATTACCATCATAAATTTAAGTAATTTTAGATTCGATTTAAAATTAAAATTGTTTTGTTTTTTTAATCAAATTGAATTTGAAGTTTAAAGGGGTTATTTTTGGAGTTGAAATTAAGTTGCCAACTCTATATATTAGCAGTAGATAAGAAAATAATGGGAAAATATACAAGAGAAAAGAGAGAATTGGTGGAGAAAGGGAGCCGAAGTTCGATTTGCAGGGTTAGTCAGATGCTGGGGGTTTTTGAGATGGAATGGGATGGGAGAAAGGGGTGTAGGCACGTGGAGGTAGCGGAGATTCGGAGAAAGGACATAGTCTGAAGCATGGGATAATTGTAAGAGAAAGCAAGGATTAAGCTTCAAAGGAACGATAGCAGGAATCATTTGATGATGTCAAATGAAAGAAAAGCAAAAGCCAAGGGGGTGGCCGCCTCCCTCTTACTTTTTCTTCTTCTTTTTGTCTTCATATCAAAACTCTCTCTCTCTCTCTCTCGGCCTCCTCCTCCTCCTCCTCTATACTTTGCATCTTCTTCTAATTTCTCAAAGGTCCTTGTCTTCCTCTCCCTCTCTCTCGTTCTCTCTTAACACGTAAAGCCAGGGCCAGGGTTTGCACTTACAGTAGTTGTTTGTGTGTCCTATTAATAAGATCTTCAAGAAAACGATGGCTCCTGTTTCATTGCCGCCTGGTTTTCGGTTCCACCCAACAGATGAGGAGCTTGTTGTTTATTATCTCAAGAGAAAAATTAATGGCCGAAAGATTGAATTAGAAATCATCCCTGAAGTGGATCTCTACAAGTGCGAGCCTTGGGACTTACCAGGTATTCTCACCCATTAATTATATTCATTGCCAATTTCGTTTTGCAATATTATATGCACACAAACAACATTCATTAGCGGCTGAAGAAATGAACAAGTACAAAGTAATATCAAGAAAGGCTGCTCTTCCAAAAATAAAAGAAAAAAGAAAGGGCATCATCAAAGTTTTAGATAATCTTCGTAGGTTCAGTTCATTCTTCTTGTGTTTAAACACATGAACTATTGGGTTCATTAGATGAATTGTGGTTTGACACATACTATAAGTAATAACATCCACATTCTCATATAAAAGTTTCAATCACATTTTATAACACAAGATGCTACAAAGTTAAAAAAAACACACACACACACAGATAGGTATTTGAATCTTATTAATATTTCTCGTATTTAAGTACAGGCTAGAGAAACAACAATTACTTCATGTACAATATATTCCATATTCTATGAATAAATAAATCCAAGCTTAAACTTATTAATATTGTCACTTTTGTGAAAGGGGAATCTCAGAAAATGATTTGAGGAAGATTGTTTTCTTTTCACCGAATGTGCTTTATGGTCAAACATCCTAAAGTTATAGCTTAAAACCCTAGACAAGGAATGGATGTGAACCCTCAAAAAAGCATCAACGAAAAGGAATGGATTGCTTCTTCTACAGACGCATATGAACCCCCCTTCTTTTATTTTTTTTAATATTCACACATCTATAACTATATCATTTTCTTTTTTTAAATTAATGCATTGAGTGAACAAAAAACTGATGAAACTAATTTGCAGGAAAATCACTATTACCAAGCAAAGATCTTGAGTGGTACTTTTCAGTCCTCGAGATCGTAAATACCCGAATGGATCAAGAACTAATCGAGCAACAAAATCTGGGTATTGGAAAGCCACAGGGAAAGATAGGAAAGTGAACTCTCAGATGCGTGCTGTCGGGATGAAGAAAACCCTGGTTTACTATCGAGGGAGAGCTCCCCATGGTTCTCGAACCGACTGGGTTATGCATGAATATCGTCTTGACGAGCGAGAATGTGAACCTTCTTCCGCAGGCTTGAATGTCAGTTCATCATTTCCTCAACTTTTACGCCTTATAGTATTATTATTTATTTCAATTCACATTCCCTAGTTTGATGATTTTATCTGATATAGTAATTACTAATATTCCTGCAGGACGCTTATGCTCTTTGCCGTGTGTTTAAGAAAAGTGCAACTGCCCCCAATATTATTGGGGAGCATTACCAGCCTGCTACAACTGCGAATCAAATCCAGATCACTAGTGAGCATTCTTCTAGCCTTGAATTATATTCTGAGGGTAGGTGCGAAGAGAGTTCCGGTTTTGCAATCCCGTTGGATACATGTTCACCCGGTGTTCTCAATAGATCATCTATCGACATTTCTGATGCAAGAGATGTTAAATGGATGCAATCCTTGTCCGAAGATGCGTTTGGGTTAACTAATCCATCCTTTTCAAGCTATGCAACGGACTTACATCCTCCATCTAAGGTAAGCTTTTTCAACAATAAAGATATATTCAGAAATTGCTACTTAACCTTTTATTGATGCTGCATTCACTATGTATTTTGCAGGTGGATGTGGCACTAGAATGTGCAAGGTTACAGCATCGGTTTTCATTGCCTCCATTGGAAGTTGAGGATTTCCCTCAAGTTGGACTCACCAACTATAAACTGATGCGAACAACACCAATGCCTGAAACCCAACATGAAGCGGATATATTGCAGGAAATTCTTTCGGTTGCTCATGCTTCTCAGGAACTGATACATCAAGATGCTTGGGGTTGGGGTGGCAGTTGTAGTAATCCCGATGATTTCACCTTTATGGCTGCCAAAGGCATGTACCAAAATCAAGTGAACGAGATAAGTTGTCCTCAATACATGAATAAACCATTAGAAGAATCAAGTACAAGGTCGATAGACATAAGTGAGGTGCAGGGTCAGGGAGATCGAATGGTTGAAAATTTGAGATGGGTGGGAATGTCGAGCAAAGATCTAGAGCAGGCAACTCTTCTAATTAAAACCATTTTTACTACTTTATTAATACACATACTAATTTAACGCAGAATTCTTACTTATATGTTCTTTCATATGATTTCACAGTACTGCTTTATGGAAGAAAGCAAGATTGTGCCCATACAAAATATTTCGAGTTTTGCAAGAAATGAAGACAACAGGATTCAAGGTACGTAGCAAATTATGATTGACGCTGTCATATGATCCTGTTCCTTAATTCTAATGCTTAAAAATTCTATTTCGTTCCATAAAGTTGTAGGAGAAAGTGGACATGGATTCAATGACAGTGGGATCAACGATACAGAAATCGAAGATTTTCCACAAGGATTCATCGATGATGAGCACTTTCTAGACGAGGGCAATATGGAGGACTTGACAAGCTCACCAAGCTTTGAGGAGGTTGTTGAGGACATCAAAATTAATCATGGAATGTTCGTTTCAACTCAGCAAGTTGCCAACACATTCTTTCACCAGACAGTGCCTTCTCAAACAGTTAAGGTTCACCAAAATCCAATGACAGCAACTAGCTTCCAGTTCCAGATGGGGAAAGAAGAGTCAGATGAGGCAAGATATAACAAAGGAAATTCTTTCTTCAGAAAGTTCAATTCATTTTCCAAAGGAAAGTGTATGGAAATCATCACCTTCACAAAGCCATGTAAGAAGACAGCAAGTGCCTTCCTTTGCATGCTTGTGCTTCTCTTAATGCGTAGCTTTTATCTTGAGGTGGATGAAGAAGCCAAAAATGAGAAATTAGTGGATGGATTCATGGCAAAGGACACAGGGGAGAAGGCCATTGCAGTTTTCTCAACAAGGAGCAAACCAAGAGAAAATATTTGTTGGTTAAGGCTAGTTGGTGGAATGATTTTGGCTTGCTTTTGAAAAAGTTACTATTTTTTCTTACCATATCTTTGGCTGTGTGCACATTGTTAGCAAGCACTTTATACTAACTTTCCTTCCCTATATATGTTTAACTCATTCATAGATGTAGTTTAATTTGGGAAGGTCCAAGGAAGTTGCCTTCTCCACAGTTGAACACAAATTCATTTTAGTATATTTGTAATGTTTTAATATTGATAGATATTGTGAATAAATGTAATTCATTTTAATTTAAAGTGTATACACATTTCATATCCCGAAAATTTAAAATAAAAATCAAAAGTCAAAATTTAATTTTATTAAATTAAATATATAGTTATGGATACAATTTTCTAAATAGTACTTTTTTTATGAAAAAAATAATTCTATGATTCAAAATCACTAAAAATAAAATATCTGAGAGTTTGAAAATAGTTTGATTTCAAATAAAGTGATAGACAAATCTTTAAAGCAACATCTTTACGTCATAGATAATAAGTTTGCAATGATCTTTACATGGTAACGAAGGTGAAGAGAGACATATTTTTAAAGGAATAGCCAAAGTCATAATTAAAAGAATAGGGTTTATCTGATTTGAATATATCAGCTACTCATCCTCCTCTCACATTGCATATATGCAACATACCTTTGCTCAAATCCTATTTTTGACTCTCGCATATATGAAGTTTCTTGACATGGACTATCACTTTGTCAGACAACATATTAAGAAGTCTGGTACATCCTACATTCCTACTAGTGATTAGCTAGTAGATGACATAATCGAACGTCTTTCCTAACATAGATTTTTGTTTTGAGGTACAAGATTGGGGACAAAAATCTTCTCCGTAGACATTTAATTTCTACTATTTTACATTGAATTTAATCTATGTATAAAATTTGAATCGAACCAACTCTTGCATGAACAAGAGATAAGTGAACTATTTGAACTAAATCCCATATTCAATCAGTCAAATGTTGTTATAGATATGTTAGTTCCAATATAAAGATGAACAAATGTAGGTAAGTATAGTTGCAACACTTAATATTAAGGATGAATGGAAATGATATGGCTTTCCAAAATCAAAATCATAATTCATAATATAATGGAGCGTAGGAATAGGATAATTTGGAAAAGTGGGTGAGTGGCAGCGGTAGTGCAGGGCACATGGTATGGGATTTTCTCTATGGAAATAGGATAGTTTGAAAATGGGTTAAGAAAGAACAAAATGGAAACAGTTGGAACATTAGATGACAAAAAGGCAAAAACATGGGTTCACGGGTTCCTTCATAAAAAAGTGAAAAAGA